TCGAGAACATAGAATCCTCTCGGTTATTTCAATATTTATATTGGAAACCATGTCAATTATACATAAAAATAGGGAGAATTATGAATCTACAGCTACACAGCCACATACCACACAAGGCGGTCAAATGAACTGAGTCTACCAATTCCAAAAACATGTTTGGTTCAAAACTCGTTGATGTATAATGAAATCAGGATTTACAATAAACTTCCCAATGAAATCAAAGAGACTCCTTTCATTATATTCAGAAAGAAATGTACAAAACTATCAAGTGATAAAACCTATTATGACATACAAGAATGGTTTTTACGATGCTCTGTGATTTAGAATGTGATGAAACTGCGATTGTACTGTGTGTGAAAAACATATTTTTATTCGTTGTCCTAGTTCTTGTCAAGTAACCTCTGCATATGTATGTATATATAGTTTTATATTTTATTTTAATCATTTATATTTTATACACTTATACTTCATGTTTACAACATTGTGTTTGTAACAAGGATTTTATTCTTAAACCATAAACATATTATCAATCAATAACTTCATCGATTATGAAACATCAATGTATTTCAACATTTTTAATTTAAAAATTCAATCATTGTTGAAATCAGTACCTACCTTTTTTTGGGTGAATGAGAATTACCTTCTTGAAAGTTTGACTTTTGCTGTGCCCACTGTTGACCGTATTGCAATGAAAATATTATTATCATTATTATTACTTCGAAGGGCGGAAGGACTTCGGTCGATGTTATTTTGTTCAATAAATTACAATTATTATTATTATTACTTTGAAAAACCCAAGCAGCGGAAAGTGTAAATTGGGTAGTGGGTTGAAAAAAAAATCAGCATACTCCAATTTATATCACTTTTATTGATTATAAATTCGATGTCATCAAATTGGTATAGCTTTCTACGATAAATTCTACAATCAGAACTTTTTTATAACATAAGCACTAAAATTACTGATATTGAAATGAAAAGTTCAAAGTTTACAAGTTCAAAATTCCTTATAAGGCATATCACATAAGACCCTGACAACTATCAAGTCAAATTTCCTACATTTTTTGTATATCCAAGGAATGGGTGGAAATATTTTCACCAGACTAAAACGAAACTGTGAAATGGATCATACGGAAATAGAAAATAAAAATGAATAAATCTTTTTTCAATATTTTCAGAAAAAAATAGGGGGATTTGTACGTATGTAATTCTACTTTTTCCACTAGTGAAACTGTTTCTCAAGTACCGCATTATTATTGGCATTACTTTTATTAACTAGTTGATAAATTCAAGCAGAAATAAGAATTCGGGAATACTATCAATATTGAAAAAGAAACTAAGATTGGGATTATCGCTTTCATAATAGATTTTTTAGAGAGCTTACCTGGAATGAATGATTTCAAATTTGAGCTGTACCTTTCAAAACTTTTAACAATACCACTATTTGTTATTATAGATTGTCAATAATAAAATAAACAAATACGTTTTTCTCTACTTCCTAACGTTTCCTTATTTCGATAGGTCTTTAAACTTTTTCTATTTCGTGAATGTAAATAACTGTGTTAGGAAAATACTCCACAATAATATAGAAATGAAGACAGACTGTTGCAAAACTTTTATTTGGCGTTAAATTGAACTGTCGAGATAGTGAATCAATACTTTCTGGCAAATTTAACCATCTCACCACTGAACATCCTCAGTTCGTAGGATTATAACAATCACATTCAAGCTGCTTTCTTTTAAACATTACATTCGATCATGATCACTTAATCGCCATTTGTTTGTTCACTGTGATCATGTTCAGGAGAGATTCAACAAATGGCATCCAAAATTATGCCACTAATTCTGAAATGACAGATATAAAACTAATAAATTAAATCCGATGATTGACACTTGACTCAAATCAAAATATTATCAACCTTCGAGTGTTTCTATGTGGTGAGTAATGAATATTGTGAAAATAGGAATGTAGAAAATTATCTGGGAAGTAAATTAGTAGTACCTCTATGATTAAAAATTAAATCATAGATGGTCACGAACATCAACCTCAAAAGCTTAATTTTTTTTTGGGCGTCATCGGCATCGACTGCATTGGTCATTAGCCTTGTGTCATGGGTAGGCAATGTTAATAACTCCACGAGCCACCTAAGGAGCATGATGGCTAGTCGCAGTCCGTCAGCCATGTAACGTTGCAGAACCATCCCAGCTTCAACTAGATAAATTATCTCCAGAAAAATATCTGGTCGATGTTGGGGTCGAACTCACGACCTTCTGACCGTGAGTCGGGCACGCTACCACCGCTCATATATTTTTCATTAGCACAAATGTTTTCAGATTTGCAGGGAGATTCACCTAACCTAATTTTCACTGATTGGTTAGGTGAAATATGCAATCAAACACAGCGACCAAGATTTTTCATGATGTATATACTCCGGAAACATTAGTAGTCACATAGTGCTTTTGTTGCTACTCTGCAACTGTGGAAACGATAGAAATAGCCCACAATCACACTTTGGTTGTTTTCCATTTACATTCTCTATTAAGGTTAGAGATTATCGTGTATCATATGGGGATCCAAACCTACAATTTCGACTGGGCAAGATAATTGGTCCTATAACTTGTCAAAAAAATTATCAATCCAAGATTTATTTCTGAAAATAATGGGAGTGTATGCATATAGATTGTTAGAGCTTAGTGTATGAGGGATATACGTTGAGATTATTTCCTGAAAAGGAAAAATATATACAGTGCCTTCATTTCAAAACTTCCCACCCCTAGTACTTCGTTTAGCAGGGAGAATTTGCCGTAGACAAAAAACACGTCAATTTAGATATCGAGGGGGAAGTTTAAAACCAATGCCAGTGGTATTTTAGGTTTTACCCCCACTTAATAATTTTAAATGGCACACCCTATCTTGTAACACATCATTTTAAAGATTAGAAAACTGAAATTGAAAATGAATTATAACAAAATGCAAAAATTTATGGAACCGCTACCACTGACTCAATAACGGTATGTTAATGTCTCTGTTTTACACAGATTTTTTTGCTTTAGCTGAAAGTGAGATAAGGGCACACAGTTGCTTCTTGGCATCAGTTACAATTAAATGGTGAAAACATTTATCAGAATTAGTTATTCCTGATTTTAAACTGTTTGTCACGTGGTGACAGTTACACTGACAGTAATACAAATCGTAATGGTGTACACTTTACAAGAAAGAACTGAAATTATTTTTATTTAAGATAGGTGTGCTCGTAGGACAGCCCGGGTTTTTAATGAAAGGCATGCAGGCCATGCCATGCAGATTGATATTTTAGGCCAATTCGCCGTTGAGCCTACTACTTCAATTTCGAAAGTCGCTAAGTTAGTAAATATTTCAGTTGGTTCTATACACAAAGTTTTGAAACTAAACAAGTTCTTTCCTTACAAAATGAATATTCTTCAGCAACTCAGTGAGGATGACTATGATAGGAGAATTGAATTTTGTGAAATAATGACTGCGAGAATTCAAAATGACCCGAATTTAATAAAAAATATTTGCTTCAGTGATGAATAAACTTTTTTTTTAATGGCTTTGTAAATAAGCATAACTGTAGGTACTGGGATAATGAAAATCCACACTTGTTTCGAGAGGATCATACGCAATATCCACGAAAAATAAACGTCTGGGCTGGAATTCTGGGAAACGAAATAATTGGCCCCATTTTTATTGAAGAAAATTAACTGGTCAATTGTATTTAAACTTATTGGAAAATGTAATCGATCCACTCATAACACAGTCCTTAGAACGCCAAGTTGATGAAGAAGACAACCCGCTCTTGAATGAACAAAATTTACATTTTCAACAGGATGGCGCACCGCCACACTAGGCATTGCATGTCCGACAGTGGCTCGATCAACGGTATCCTAACAAATGGATTGGCAGAAGAGGCGCTCTGAAATGGCCGGCGAGATCTCAGGATTTAACGCCATTGGATATCTTTCTCTGGGGTTATTTGAATACAATGGCATACAAAACTCCCTGCAGGACATTCAGGATCTAAGACACAGGATTACTGACACATGCAGACAAATTAATAACGAAACATTTACAATAGTCTGACAGGAATTCGAGCATAGATTGTACTTTTGCTTAGCTAACAATGGTGAACATTTTTAACACCTAATAAAGTAAGGTACATTTATTTAATTGCTATAGCTATTATTTTATTTTTTATTATAATTAATTTTCTTTTTGCCCTATTTTACAAGAACGGATCAACCAATTTCAGTTTTCTAAATGGGGTTGAGCGAGGATTTTTAAGATCTTTAAAATGATGTGTTACAAGATAGGGGTGCCATTCAAAATTATCAAGCGGGGGTAGCTAGGGGTAAGAGGTTAAACCTAAAATACCACTGGCATTGGTTTTAAACTTCCCCCTCGATATCTAAATTGACGTGTTTTTTGCCTATGGCAAATTCTCCCTGCTAAACAAAGTACTAGGGGTGGGAAGTTTTGAAATGAAGGCACTGTATACTCAAAAAACATATAATTTGAAAATACTGATTTTCGGCTTTAAGTGAATATCTCAAAATTATTAGGTTCCAAAAATTATATTCATCTGTCAAGAATATGTTGACGGGCACTTGTCATGTTAGTAAGTAAAACCGATCTGGAGAAAATATTATTGCTGTAAAACTCTGTAAAAGGTACTTATTCAATTTTCCATCATTTTCATGCTTTGGGGGAAATAGTTGTTCAATCGATAAAAATGTGTATAAATTCAAAAATTTTTAAATATTTTTTTTGACTTGAGCATGTAATATTTTAATAATATCCCGAGACCGTAAGTCGGACGATTTTATCTTAAATTATTGTACTCAAAAGCACTAACCCAAAACTCTGTAAAAGCTGCCTAGCTTTTAGCCATAATCATTTGTATGCAATGAGAAAAATAATCAAATCAAACTACTGGAAATTTTAAACTACACACGATGAAAAAACAAACAAAACAAAAGAGTTCTTTCCTTTTGATAAAACTAACAATGTATATATTCAATTAGGTAATATAAAAATTGCTCCCAATGCTAATGAATGTGAGGTAACCCGCAAAATTCACATGCTAACGCATTCTTTCCAGAATGAGAGAGTATAAAGTTCTATCTCATATAATTTCATGTAAGCATCAAACGATTCAAATTTTTTTGGCTCACCTTACTTAACCTAGTGGTTGGCATGATTCGTATTCTCAGTACATTAATAAATCTCAACAAAAACAATAGTTATTCCTCTTCAGCTTTCGGCCTCTGTAACTTTTCAGGGTTGGAACAAGCTAGCCTGGAAAAATCTCTCACGACGTCGTTGAATGTATCGTCCCCTGTAACTCCCAGTTCATCGGAATCTCTTATTTCTTCATTTAATCTTCCTAATCTCAATCTAGAAATCATAATTCATTTTCAAATTGTGCAGTAAAGTGAGTTTGTTTCTATGCAGAAATATAGGTTTTTTCATTAAGCGCTTCCTATAGAGAGAGAGAGTAATTTATTTGACCACTTTATATACAAAATACATTTATGGCAAGTCATATATACTATATACTATAGGTACTATGTCAAACACTAAAAATGAGCAACAACGTCTCTAGATTAAAGTAATAAATTTTATAAATAAATAAAACTGGCATATCAAAATTGCATAAAATGATCACAATGTCACATGAATGGTAATAAAGTAAAGATATCAATATAAAAAGGTCAACAAACATAAAAACAGACATTATCACAGTTTTACAACATGAATCATTTTTCAAGAACTCTGAATTGACCAGCTACAGCAGCATATTCTTCGATTGTGTAAAAACAGTGGTTAAGAAGATAATTCTTGACATTATTTTTGAAATTTCTGAAATCCAAAGATGTAACTGTGGGATGGAGACAGTTGTATAAATTCAAATTTAGGGAGTTTTTTTGACTAACTGCTAACCTATATCTTGTATTATTCAATAAACATGCGGATCTTGTTGAATAATCATGATTGTGAGAGTGTTTCGGAAACATGTCTATATTGAATTGAAGGGGTTATATTTTTTAGGAGTGATTAATTTTTGGGAAAGTTTTTGGCTTTCTACTACTCCATCTTGATACAAAAAAAGAAGGATGAGGGAGTCTTCCAAAGAAAGGAAGGTAGTAACTCTATACATGGATGTGTAGATTATGCAAAGAAGTAACTTTCAGACACAAACTGAAAGAAAGTCCTCTTGAAACAGCTATTCTATATAAACATTGAATTATACAAAAGAAAAAATTTTTTCGAAACAAATACTTCTATATGAACACTGAATTATACAGAAGATACTTTTCTCTACTAAGTTTTTATTTCAAACATTCATTGTGGAATAAAAATCAGATATCATTCACATGAGTTCTACTTTAAATGAATGGTAACAAATTGCACTTACATATAACACTGCCATCCTCACTGGTATACACCGATGTTTCGCCTTAAGACACTTGCCCTAAGGCTCTTCAGTACCAAATTGGATAACATTATAGAAAATACACACACTTCATTCAGTTTGTGTTTGACTTTCTTTCAGTTTGTGTCTGAAAGTGACTTCTTTGCATGATCTACACATCCATGTATAGAGTGAGTTACTACCTTCCTTTCTTTGGAAGACTCTCTCATCCTTCTTTTTTTGTATCAAGATGGAGTAGTAGAAAGCCAAAAACTTTCTTTCCCAAAAATGTCTATATTCTTGTGAATCTGCGTATTTTTTCATTGGCTTTTCAAACGAACCAAACTCGGTGAGATTTTGATCCAATAACTTGAACATAGTTCAAGTAATTGGTTCAAGTGTAATAAATTTATATCATATTTCTTTTTGCTTCATTCGTGAAAGCTATTTTTCGACAAAAATTCAATCACTTGTACAATAACAAAACGTCATTGAGTGTAACAAATTAAAAGTCAAATTTAGAAACGTCAAAGTCAAAGCCTATTATGATAAGAATCAATTTTTTTCAATATCTACAATTTTTTGGAAAAAAATTATAGCTCATGATACATCATTGAAAAGGTGAAATCTGGTTCTATTCAAAACAGAAAGAATCCAATGTAGCACCCATAAGAAAAAATAAAGTTGATGATGGTGGCCGGAAAACGAAACGTCGGATAGCAAATCTGAAACCATCATTATATAGCAGGGAAAAAGTGGCAATGTGGAAGTGAAATTTATTTTTGAATCCTTCAAAAAATAAAGCCAGAAAAAAATAAAAACCATTTTCAGAAATTTCTGTTTTTTCGGATATCTCCGGATATACTCGGCACTTCAGAACTTTCTCAACGGCATATTGTTAGTGAGGTAAATCCGCAACTTTGCCCCAATTTAACCATCTCCCTATCTCTCATAGTTTCCGAGATCCCAATGGTGAGGATCGAATTTGAAACACCCTGTATACTCCTATATGGTCTGTGTTTATATGAATGAATATTATCATAAATACTGATTATTTTGATATTCTAGTTTGAAATATGTTAATTCCTTATTCACTTCCTGTAAAAACTTGATAAGCAGCCATATTTCACCAAAATGAATACTTACAGAGTAACAATATCTGCATTTTCTTTTTGTTCGGCGACAGACAACGGCACCTTCCCTTCATCATCTTCAAGATATTGGTCAGCTCTGTGCTTCAAAAATAAACAAACTTGCGCCGTATGGCCCTCCATCGTGGCCAGAAGGAGAGGCGTTTTTCCGCTCTGATCTTGAGCATTAATTTTTGCACCATTTAATAAGAGGTACGCACAAGGCATCACGGATCCCTGCGTACAGAAATTATCATCAGAAAAATATTTACTTTTATGAAATATACTGAAAAAGTAATGGCAACTAGGAATGTTACAGATGTGGGTTTACTGGATACGATTCAAAACTATTGGATTTGAAGTGTGTGTGAAATCAATCAGAAGTTCCGATCTTTCCGAGTCGAAGCAAAATAATGATAACCATTCATTTTCCAACAGTATTCTCAATAATCAATTAAATAATGGTGAAATTAATGGTAACAACAATATTGTATGATATATTACTATATAATAATATGGAAAACCATAAAAAAGTTAAGTTTTTGATTCATTTATGTTGTCATTTGTATAAGTACCTTTATTTGTTTCCATGGTATTCCTATTGTATTGAACAATAAAGTACTCATAAACGATAAATAGAACATTTCATCCAATACCCTAGATTCCGATTAAATCAGTCATGCTGTAAATAAAAATTTGACGAAGAGATTTAATAAATGCCTGAAAGTTAACGAATGTCTTCAAACATACAGTGTGTAAAAGGCAAATGGAATAAATTAATTATTTCGGTTACTGTACATATTTAAAAAAAATCCTGGAACACGTCAAATGTAAATTATAATTTGACATTCTTCAACGTGAAAATGTCACCCCTACCTTTAACCCCCTTCGAATGACAGGTACAACCCCCAATTTTTTAAATGAGAAGTATAGGCTTGTGATATATCGTTTGAAAGGTCTCTTCATTCTCTATTCAAAAATTTTATCGCTTTCAAGTTTATTGCAACTATTAAGATAAAATAAATTAAAATCATGTGGGTACCAAAATTCGATAAAATACACTCAAAAACTAAAATGTAATGCAAAACGTAATGAAATATAGAATACGAAAAAAAACCATGAATGTTAACGAAGTAGATGTTCAAAATGTTCACCGCGAACGTCTTGGCAACATCCTAATCTCAAATAAAACTGTCTTCAAACATTATTCAACATATCAGGAGTGACCGACCTAATCGCAAGTGTTACTCGTTCTTTTGAGTCATTCAAATCTGAAGGTATAATTTTGTACACATTGCTCTTTACATATCCCCATAAAAAGAAATTTAATGATGATTGGGAAATGTTGCAGTTATTGCCGGATATTAACTTGGTATCAGGATCAGGATATAAATTTGATGAAATTGGAGAGACGTCACTTTGAAGTATTGCCAAGTAATTATCGCCTTTCAAGTTGACCAATGATATGATTTCCTACAATCCCTGCCCAAACATTAACCTTTTGAGGGTATTACTTGTGTTCTTCTCTCATCCAGTGATGATTTTCCGTTGATCAGTAGCGGCAATTTTGCCGATTAGCATGACCGTTAAGAGACAAAGTACACTCATCAGAAAACGTAACGTCTTCTAATTGGATGATATTGTTATTCAACATGTCCATCATTTTCTCAAAAAAATAAGTTCTTCTATCAAAATCGTCTTTCATGAGCTCCTGTGTAGGTATCATATTATAGGGATGCATTTTATTTTTTTTTAATATGTTTACTATCGATATATGGCTAACACTTCTTCAAACTCAAGCATCACATCTAATTTGAGTTCATAACTTATTGCATTGGCAGCTGCTTTTTTTAACTGCCCCGAATGACCAAGCTTCTGAAACTGCTTCTCTATTTTGCTTATTGTTCCTTAAGATATGGAGGATAAATTAGGAAATTTCTCATGAAATAGGCGAGCTTCTTCCTGTTGTGTTAGGGTTTTATCTCGGTAACCAATCATTTGTAAAACTGTTATTTTATGCATTTTCGTTAATTTAACCATTTGTCAGACTTGAAGTTAACGAACTTTTAACTTTAATTAAAATACTGACAACTAATGTTGTAACATACAAAACAAGTTGACAAGGAGTTTTAAACTAACGTTGCTACGGTAATTATTTAGGTTTTCAAAGGATACCATCTAAAAAAACATTGTTATTGTTTTTGCTTACTTTCTTATTATCAATACCTAAACATATTGCAATAAGTTTTCAGTGTATTTTATCGAATTTCGGTAATCACATGATTTTAATTTATTTTATATTAATTGTTGCAATAAACTTGAAAGCGATAACATTTTTGAATAGAGAATGAAGAGACCTTTCAAACGATATATCACAAGCCTCTACTTCCCATTTAAAAAATTGGGGGTTGTACCTGTTATTCGACGGGAGTTGACGGTAGGGATTACGTTTTTCCGTTGAAGTATGTCAAATTATAATTTAAATTTGACGTGTTTCGGAATTTTGTTAAAATATGTGCCGTAACCGAAATAATGAATTTATTCCATTTGGCTTTTACACACTGTACTTTGAGATAGTTTTTAGATTTTGTGTGAAAAGACAATGCAATATTTTTTAATTTCCACTCTTTCATAGAACGTTTAGAATAAACACTTTTAAAATCATTATTTATTCATCTGAAATCCCATTCTCAATAATAACCATAACGGCAAATTGATAGCTCTAATTAACTTTCTGTAACTGTTCGAAATGAAGGTTTCGTAGTTCTTAGTTTTACGGTGGGTATGCGCTCGTTTTATTATTTCAAGAAAACCTGAAATATGTCTTGAACGGTCGATTAGTTATTTATTTATTTATTTATTTATTCATCCAAACAGGCTGATTAGCCTAATTACATGGATATAACAAAAAAAACAAAAATTTTAGTTCAATACTAATACATATACAATAAAATTAATACTAAAAATAGCAACATAATGTTTACACAACCTTAACTGCCAATATACCAGAATGACAGGGAGACGTTATTCAGAAATACTAACCAAATAATTTAATATCAATTGGCGAAAACTGTTTTGCGATAAAGTCCAGTCCAATGATATTAAAACACCTGTTTGATTAGCCAATCGGAGCATGTATACAAGAGAAGATCTAGATCCATATAAATTTACAGGATAGTTAAATTCAAANCTTACAAATGGGAAATACTGTCAAGCTACTCGGAATTGTTATTGATGACAAACTCACATGGTCGAATCACATAGAACAGCTCTGTAACAAATTAGCAAGTACTCTATTTCTCTTGAGGCAGTTAAAAAAAGCAATTCAACCTGATACTCTGAGAATGACATATTTCTCTCTGTTTCATTCGCAGATAAACTATGGAATAATTTTATGGGGAAATGCCACTCGTGCAATAACCATCTTTCGACAACAAAAAAAAGCAGTAAGAATTTTAGCTGGAGTTGGATATAGAGAACATTGTCACCCACACTTTATAAAGTTTGGCATCATGCCTTTACCTTCATTATATATCTACAATGCCTTATTAGAAATACACAGAAATATCAACCAGTTACAAACCCAGTCAGATATACATGACCATAATACTAGGTATGCTAAGTTATTAAAAACTCCAAGGTATAGATTAACCAAATCTCAACATAATTCTCTGAATATCAATCTATATAACTGCTTACCGGAAAGAATCAAATCACTATCTTTAGATCAGTTCAAAAAAAGCACAAAAAAATATATTCTTGAACACTGCTTTTATTCCACAGACGAATTTCTCGTCACAACAAAGCAACTGAGTCATGCACTCAACACATCACTTCTCTGAAATATTCCATTCTGTTTACGCTATTCATTTATGCCACACTTGATTATGTTTGTAACACTTTCAAAATATCATATGTTTTATTGTATAATTTTATTCATTGTGTACTTTATATTGTATCTGTTAATATATTGACATGCCATAAATGTATTTATATATGTAATGTGGTGAAAATATATTTATCTATCTATCTATCTATCTATGTTGTTTATCGTTCGCTTCAATCTAGTTCGAGGAATGATACTCTGAAACGAATTTGATTTTTAATTGTGGGAAATCATCGGCTTCGTGTTGATGATGGACACTACCTTGCACTGACGAGTGGCCAAATAGCCCGAATGTTTAATTTCTTGTCTTGATGAATAAATAAAACATATCCATGTAACACTAACTATTTCAATTATATCTAGAGTTTTAGACTTGACTTGACTTTGATATGGCAATATCAAATCAGTGACTACAACAGTTTTTTCTAAATATAGTTTTCAGCTTACCAACACTTTCATTGTTGTCCTCTCCCCCTGTAGATTCCTGATCGCTGCTGAACTCTATAGCTCCTTCAATCGGCTGCTTATCGAAATCATTACCGAAAAGCAGTACACTGCCGCGTTTTCTCAAACTATTCCTTTTTGATGATTCACTGTTGGTGTCTTCGTCCTTTCCACTGCTGCTGCTACTTTCTAGGCTCTCAGATATATTGTCAACTTTCGCTTTCGCTTCCTCAGTTTTCACAACCTTCCTATCCCTTTTATCGCAACTTTTCGGCCTCCGCCTTATTTTTCTCACGCTCCACTTTCGAACTTCCATTAAACTCAACCTGGAAGTTCTATTCGACGATGGAGAGGTTTTGTTGAATTGTGGTAGCGATTTGACATACTTTTTATCGACATACTTTGCTTTAATGAAAGACTCCCTCACTGCCCTGTAAAATGTATAACCTTTTGAATATTGACGGTAGAATCTCAAAATACCTTGACTTTACCCAAGACATTGCTCCGAGGGTCTGGATACATCTTCAGGCAAGTTTGCTTCATAAATTTTATTCACTACGGTATTACCCAATTCCACCATCACTTTGATAATTTCTGGTTCCCAATCATCTAAAGTTAGTGATCTCACTTTAGTGTAATGTACCCCTAAACTCCTATGAACTCCTGAACATTCTGAAAAGTTATTCAATGTATGAGTTATTGCAAAAATTTCATTACACATTTATATAAGTACATCTGAGAGAGCTAGTCATAAACTGAAAAAAAATTGTAGTTGAAATTATATCGGTTCCTTTTGATACTGTCGTAATTTAAATAATACAATTTAGAATGGATTTCAAGTATTAAACTTGTGTTATTAGGAATGTTCGAATACGTTTTTCATCAATTTTATTTTTAAATTCTATGGCAATTTGTAAGTATAGTCTATAGTAGTCTTTCTCAAAGTGGCGATAATGCCCCCTTGTGGGCGCTGGAGGCCTATAGGAGGCCAGTAAAGGACACAGAGAAGAATTGGGGGCGTTGAAGCGGTTTAGAGGGGCGATGGCTAATTTAAAAATGTTTTCTTGCTTTTAACATAAACTTTACCGCTCCTTTACGCTTAAAGCGCGTTTCCTCGTGTAACGCCATCTAGGGGACTAGACAGTAACTATTTCCTGCCCGATAGTTGTCAAACTGTACAATAGATGGCGGTAAGCTTTAATGCGAAGCGAGAAGTTTCTAGGCTCCATTCTCGAAAGTACTAGGCCCGCCCGCTGCCTCATATAAAGGCGCCGCCATCCAACCAGTAATGTCATTCGACGATATTACGAAAACAAGTGAATTAAGTTAGCGACTAGCTAGATGGAGTGCTGTACGTGCGATGGTGAAAACTGTGAGTGGTGTCATTAGCAAGTTTTCAATACTTGATTCTTTACTTCGACATTTTTGAAGACAAAATTATGTCGGAAGCAAAAAAGAAGAAACTGCAGTATAGCGCGGAATATATAAAATATGGATTTATTGAAAATCCCACAAATCCATCTTCGTCTATGTGCCTTCTTTGTTTAAAAACATTTTCGAATAAAGCGATGAAACCTTCAAGGCTACAAGATCGTTTGAATAAAATGCATTATGACTTATTTTCAAGAACTGGAAAAGAAACGCTCAGCTCAGCCAACTGTGTCAACACTTTTTTAGCGGTTTCTAGGCAAGACGACGACGGACTTCGAGCTTCCTACAATAACTCCTTGTTAATTGCTCAAACAGGTGAACCTCACACTATTGGAGAGGATTTAATTTTACCGGCAATAAAAGAAGTAATAACTACTGTGCTCCATAAACCAGCGGCAGCGAAAAATTCCTTTGAGCAATACTTCCGTGCAAAGACGGATTGATGAGATGGCTAAAAACATTGAAGAGTCATTGTGCAATCCTCTGAAGACTTCTAAATTCTCAATTCAGTTAGAATTCAACTGAAGAATATTATATCAGCTGCTATGGATGGCGCTCCGGCTATGACAGGACGTCACAAAGGCTTCATAGCGTACTTAAAAAATGACAGATTATTTAGTCAGCCTTGTGTTGCTAATAATGAAGATTTACCACGCCGCCTATGCCAAAACTACCAAAAACTTTTCTCGTAAATACCTCATTTTCAAGAAATGAATTATTTTGTTAATACAAAAAAAACTATCTCCAAACGACTCACCAATACACAACGTAATTCCTAAATTAATGCTAGCCCACCTAGGATTGGGGCTTCCACAATCACAGCAAAAGTTGTTACCAGGAATCTTCAACAACTGTTCCCACATCCTCTTTTTGGTACGATTATTATTATCACCGGATACGTGCCCACTCCGATTCCTATCGGAAATATAATCGGAATATCTGATGAAGTTGCTAGCGAGCTTTTTGGTCTGATCGAAATCGATACTTTGAACCCTCTGAATTGCTGCCCCAATACCCTTTTGCAGAGCTGTGACCCAGCAGTCGTACATTTCTTTGGAATCGGCTTGTAACATGTGACTTCTGAAAGGAAATTGTATAATTTCAATGAATATACAGCATATTACTTTTAGACTTGCTTGGAAGGTGACAAAACCTCAAAACAGAAACGTCTCTCCCCATCCAACACTGGTTTAACGGTACATATTCTCAAGTCATCCTCCATAACAGTTTCGTGCTCTTCTCCAGACCTTTTTCTGAAATAGAAAGACTTTATAGGTATTTTATATTACTTTTAAATATATTTATTCAAATGTAATTTACGGACTTTTTCCTGGCTCAGAAGGAGTCTTTATATAATGTATAAGAGTTTTATGAGTCGTTACTCTAAAGGGTAAAACCGTATCAAAATTTTATAGTGGTCTACCGAAAGCCAGTATTTGAGGTAGGGTAGAGCACTGGTTAGCTCAGTGGAGACGGGTGGTTCGTATTTCCTAAGTAGTTCAATTAATGCAACTAGCCACTAACGGTTTCTAGAGGGGTATTGTAGATGACATAATAAGGAAGAAAAAGTTTAGGTTAAGAATGAACGAAATCTCGACTTTCAGAAAGGACAAAAACCAAGATAAATGCATCCCAGTTCCATACCACCAATATACGAAGAACTTTGGAAAGATTTTCAAGGAACTAGGTATGAAGGTGGTTTTTGAAACAAAGCATACAATACTGAGCCTTTTGGGAAGTCCAAAGGACGTAGTCGAGAATTCCGAAAAGTCTGGAATTTACGGACTGCGATGCAAAATATTATAGGCAGACAAAAAGATCTATTAAAGTAAGATATAAGGAACACCTAGCACACTTAAAATATGGAAGACCTGAGAAATCAGCAGTCGCCCATCATATTTTCCAACAAAACCATTCCATAGACTTTAGTTCATTAAGATTAGATAGACAAGTTTACAACAACAGGCAACTAGATGCCTATGAGAGTGTAGAAATAAGTAAACATAATATATGGTGTAGTAATATTCATTACTACACCAAAGGTTCCAAACAATGCATCATAAGTTAGCTTGAAAATAACTACAAATAATTTGGCTGGTGACGAAATTGGCTGTCAGAAGAAAAAGGCAATAATCAAAGAAATAATAATGGTACTCATCCGATTCGTTAGCTTTCCTCCCTTTTTGGCTGCAACCTGGGAAGTTGAAACTGCACTCCCCCAACTTCCAGGAAGTAGCGGAACTGTCAGACTTTCGAATTTCAGAAATTCCTCTATAACGATATCCAACAGCATTAAACGAAAAAGGCCTAGAGGATAGAGAGAACACTAGGACTCTAGAATACTTTCTCAACTATTTTATCCATACCTTTGATGAAGGACGGCCTTAGAGTATAATTTCAGCTTTGTACCCCCTTTAAAAGAGGTAATAACAACTAAGCTCACAACACTAGTTGTTAAAAATGGAACACGGCAATTCAATCCCCAATCGTGGGTAATAGTAATGACAAATAATCCAGAACTCGTTTTTTCACACTCACTAAATAAACACACTGTGCTCCTGCCTGAAATCTTTTACTACTGATTCGAATTTTAAAATGTTGGAAAGGGTCTAGGCTCCTGTTCACGAATCAAAATAATTAATATCATTGTTGAACTTCTTTATTCCACTCATGAGAATATTACACCTAATTTGGCAGCTAATTGTCGGTGCTTGATACATTAAAATTGACGAGACATCGAGAAACGTACCTAGTTGCGAACTTTGCAGAACAATGACCTTGACATAATTTAACGAATATGCGAAACAGACAGCCAACCACTCAAAGAGAAATTACACTGTAACAGTATGTAGCTTTGTGTCACGAACATTAAAAACTTTAGGTTTCCCAAGATACTTATGTTTCTAAATGAAATGAAAGAAGATAAAAAATTTTACAAATTGAAAATAAAAAATATTGATTTATACTCAGCAGAACCCGACGAATTAAAAAAAAAATTAAAGTATTTCCAAATTGAATGGCTGTGTGTAATGTCCCACACACTGAAATTCAAGTTACACTTAGTTTTGGTTGGTTTCCGAGTTTTGCCGTGGTCTACTTTGGTTGTAATCTCCAAACGTTTCGACTGCAACTGCGGCAGCCATCTTCAGTGGGGTGGTCGAATTACTCTTCTTGACGTGTCAACTGAAACTGAAGGTCTCATTTCTGCCGTGTCATTTACAGTGCTGATTTTTCGTGCACTTTCTGTAAATCCCATTCCTTGATGTTTCAGTCATCAAGGAAGGTACATAAGGTGTACAGAAAAAAAAACACACACACACGCACTACATAATGGATCCAACCATCATCCAAAACGGAAACGAACTGTCATCAACACCTTAGTGAACAGAGCTTTGAGAATATGTGAAGAAAGGTACGTCGACGATAAAATAAAACACCCAACAACTGTGTAACAAGCGAACGGCTACGACAGAAACGACATAATCCGTGTTATGCGTCCAAGGGAGAACGGCACGTTCAGTATTTGAATTTTTTATTAACCCAAATTGTTGTTGTGTTATAATAATAATAAATATCTTTATTTCTGAAGAATAATCGCAAAAAGAAATAAAAACAGAAATAACGTCACCAGAAAGATGGATTACCTCAGACAGTATGGCTGAGATATTCAGCAATAGTACTGGGATCTATATATTATATTTCACCTCGTTACACTTTTGTGTAGATTGCTTAATATTAAAACTTTTTGAAACATTGATATTTATATTCAAGGAAGGGTGATAGTTATGTGGGGAATGTTTCATAAAAATGAGTCATAATCATCTCTGAATTTCAAAACTATCAAATGATGAATCAATACTAGCTTTTTTATGTATTCTATGAAATTTTTGAATTTTATGAGAAAATCACTTAAAAGCCGAATACTTCCTTTTTTGAGAGAACAAATGCATGCAAATCTCGACAACGGTTCATTTTTGGTATCAGGTGTAATGAATGAACTCACAATTGGAATTATGCCAGGTATTAAAAAACGCGAAAATGTAAGGGGTGTTATATTTGAATTAAAAAAGTTGGTACCAACTTCCGGTATAACCGGAAGTGTTGGAAAAATGCCATAATTTTTATTCGGCGAAGCATATTAAAAAACCTATATTTGACAATTTTTAGGGTATGAATCCTATCATTTCCCAAAATACGGCCCACCGACGGTCATCGCATTGTACCCTGAATATACATGTTTTCTGGTAAATGTAATAATTTTGCAATTGCCTATGTTGAGATTCAAGTTATTATCATCTTACCATTTCTGGTCATTACCCAAATTTACAAATCATCAACGAAAAATAGTTTCATTGATTCCATTTGTTGGGATAGATCATTAATAAATAATAAGAGTAATGGCCCTAAATTGGAACCCTGAAGCACTCCCAAAATTGCAGTATCAGTTCTCATTTATATAACTGTTATAAATTACTATCTGAGATCCATTGGACATGAGAGTATGCTGATGAGATTACTAGAGGCCAGGTTTGTACAAGATAATTTCAAAGACCTTTGCAAAATTTGAGATGATGGAAATTGTTCTGATGATGGACATTGCTCTATATTTTGTTCAAATCGGTCTTTTTTTTGCTAATTTCAACTCATCAAAAAAAGTTGAGGTGTTTAGATAGATAGTGGTGCAGTTGGGATAAAACCACAGTCTTTCACAATGAACAAAGGAATAGAATCCAAACCGGAGGTTATTTTATTTCTGAGTTTTCTGGTCGACTCCCAAGCTCCACAACATCCCTAGCAACAACTGAAACCAATGATATAAAATTTTATCGGCTTCATTTGCTTCAGTAATCCGAAAAATCAAAAAAAGTCACACAACTTGAACAATTCACACTTACACTGGTAACTGCTGAATGAAGGGGACTCCTTCCTCTGTCGTCTGGATTGATCCAACATTTATCAGCACCTAAAGCTAAAGCTTCGCACATTACTGGTAAATTGTGAGCTGCTGCAGCTTTATACAGTAGTGAATTTGGTTGAAGCTTCGAAATATCTTCCTCACCTAAAAACATGATTTAGTAAACACAGTCCTGTTTGTGAAATATTTTGAAAAACATTCAGACCTGAACCCTCTTGAATAAATAGGACCTCGTCACATTATATTAATTTTTATTTGTTTATTTATTTAGCACAAGGCTGATTAAAATATATTATTTGTTCTCAAATAATGCCTTATTGTGAGATTTTCACACATTTTTCGTTTTGCAATAGCTTTCTCAAGCGTTTTTATACTGACTAATTTCTACTTAATTTGTGCTGTATACAGGGTCTTCCGACAGGGAATTCCGAATCATGACAATTGATAACGGTCATCTTGTTGAAGGTACACCGTGAAATCAGTTGTCATTTATTCACTCTGTTTTGCCAAATAACCATTGACCATGAATTACCATAAAATAAACAAGTTATCAATCACACATATGAAAACTAATTAAAATTTAAATATCTTAAAAGGAAATTTCAACAAACTCCTTGAATAAACAGCTACTAAATAAATTATCAATTTCCAAATCAGAAAACATATTAAGAAAAGGTGAAGAATGCAATTCTATTCATGAATGGACAGACCCGTTACTCGATGATAATTAATAACACTATCCATGATACTAATTACACAATTTTTATTTCTTACTGAGCATGGATAGCAGTGGCGGATTTACAAATTTTTAACGTGAAGGCTGTACACAGTTTTTTTTTACTTTTTTTTACTTTTTACTCCTACAAACACAATATTGAATTGTAATTAAAAGTAAGAGAGATAAAACTACAGTAACAAAATAAGCTTAAGAACTACTAACTAAAATAAAACAAAACAGTAAATATAAAAGGAAACAAAAAAGAAATCAAATAAATTATCACAATTTTTAAAATGTATACAAGTACCTATAAATTAAGTTACCCAATACCTAGAAATTAATCCGGCTGTGAGAAAAAGTAGGCCCTTATCTCTTTGGCATTTGTTTTAGTAAAAAGATCCACGGTGCTATTTTCAGTTAAAATGTTGCAATGATTTAGCATACGGGTGATTGGCGAGTTATCAGAAAGGCCGATAAAGAATGTTCTNTCAAGGTCGATCTAAGATAATTTTTTAGCCTTTTCAGACAAGAAAAGCTTCTCTCGCTCAAACAATTCGTGAGAGGAGGAAAGTCATCGGCAAAATTTGTTGCAGACTTCTATCTGTAAGACATCAGACAACCGTCATGCCAAAATCTTTTTAATTTTCATGATTTAGCAAAAAAATCGTTCCCTAAATTTGCCGCCCCAGAAATCTGCCTCCCTAGGCTCAAGCCTACTTAGCCTGCTGGTAAATCCGCCACTGATGGATAGCAATTTTATTTGGTCATTAAGTAAATTTTCAAGTTTATTAATTTCATTCCAATCTAAACATTCCAAAAGATTGAGAGTATCAAACCTTTCTTTTCGAAATGTGATTCCCATCTGGTATATCTGCTTGTTAGTACATAAAATATACACTTGAAGAATTTCACATATAATTCCATCAGGGTTGTATCAGGAGTTCCACAAGTATCACAAGTATGACATCTTATGTCATTTTCGAACAACAGCAGGAAACTTCACATGGATTTTGATGCATTGCGGCTCTGGTGTCAACCCATGGTTTTCAATAGAAAGTTTAGTTACTCTTTGAACAATCATTCAATATGTAACATTGACGAGGTTCTTGGCCTTCGACAAATCTCTGACCATTATTCCGCATATGAACTCTATAATTAGTAAGTCTACACAACTAGTGGGTTTCATCAGTAGGAATTCTATTCGGCTGAATACACTGTAGGTTAATGGACTGTCACCTATCAAAAAACAACTACTTCCCTGACTAATACCACGAAGGGCGTTATATCCGACAAGTGTCAGTGCAGGATCCTTCACGAAAGTAATTTCTGCATATGCTGTTGGCGATACAACTGGACGAGGAATTGGACGATTCGGATGTGCGGTTGGTTACCTCGTTCACGGGCAGACTGGGCGATGACAAATAGGTTGTTTATCGTTCGCTTCAACCTAGTTCGAGAAATGATACTCTGAAATGAATTCGATTTTTTATTGTGGGAAATCATCGGCTTCGTGTTGATGATGGACACTACCTTGCACTGACGAGTGGCCAAATAGCCCGAAACCGGTCTGCAAGTGTGTTCCAACAATTTAAAATCGATTCCGGCAGTTGTATCGCCAGCAGCATAAGCAGAAATTACTTTGAGAAGAATCCTGCAGTGACAAATGTCGGATATAATCCAACGCCCTTCGTGGTATTAGCAGGGGAGGAGTTGTTTTCTGATACGTGTCAGTCCATTGACCTACAGTGTAGAAAGTTGAGACTGGCCTGAACGAATTGTTCCTTTAGATCTGTCTGTTCCGTTAACCAGCTGGCGCATCCCTACGAACGACAACCCTCAGAAGTCGAAACTTGTGCGAGCTAAGAATTAACGAGGTCTTACCTTTTAACGTGTGATTCCTAACACGGGTTGGACGATAGCAAGTGAAGATCGATCGTTCAGACTAGGGCTTTCCAACAGCATTAAACGAAAAAGGCCTAGAGGATAGAGAGAACACTAGGACTCTAGAATACTTTCTCAACTATTTTATCCATACCTTTGATGAAGGGCGGCCTTGGAGTATAATTTCAGCTTTGTATCCCCTTTAAAAGAGGTAATAACAACTAAGCTCACAACACTAGTTGTTAAAAATGGAACACTGCAATTCAATCCCCAATCGTGGGTAATAGTAATGAGACATAATCCAGAACTCGTTTTTTCACACTCACTAAATAAACACACTGTGCTCCTGCCTGAAATCTTTTACTACTGATTCGAATTGTTGAAAAGGGTCTAGGCTCCTGTTCACAAATCAAAATAATTAATATCATTGTTGAACTTCTTTGTCCCAGTCACGAGAATATTATACCTAATTTGGCAGCTAATTATTGGTGCTTGATGCGGAGTTGACGAGACATTGAGAAACGTACCTAGTTGCGAACTTTGCAGAACAGTGACCTTGATATAATTTAACGAATATGCGAAACAGACAACCACTCTAAGAGAAATTATACTGTAACAGTATGTAGCTTTGTGACACGAACATTAATAACTTCAGTAACCCAAAGAAACATATGTTTCTAAATAGAATGGAAGATAACAAATTTTACAAATTGAAAATAAAAAATATTGATTTATACTCAGTATGGTTGGTTTCCGGGTTTTGCCGTGGTCTACTTTGGTTATAATCGCCAAAAGTTTCGAGTGCAACTGCGTCAGCCATCTTCAGTGGAGTAGTCGAATTACTCTTCTTGACGTGTCAACTGAAACTGAAGGTCTCATTTCTGCTGATTTTTCGCGTACTTTCTGTAAATCCCATTCCTTGATGTGTCGGTCATATAAGGTATATAAGGTGTACAGGAAAAAAACACACACTACATAATCCAGCCATCAGCCAAAACAGAAAAGAACTGTCATCAACACCCTAGTGAATAGAGCTTTGAGAATATGTGAAGAAAGGTTCATTGACAACGAAATGAAACACCTAACAACTGTGTTACAAGGGAACGGCTATGACAGAAAAGACATGTTCCATGTTCTACATGTAACATGTTCTTGTGTTATAAATAATAATAATAAATATCTTTATTTCTCAAGAATAATCGCGAAAAGATACAAAAACAGAAATAACGTCACCAGTAGGATGGATTACGTCAGACAGTATGGCTGAGGTATTCAGCAATAGTATAGGGTTCTATATTCAGTAGAATCCTATGAATTTCCTTTTTGAATTCACCAAGTTCACTCATTTGTTTGATGCTGGTGGGGAGTTTGTTAAACATTTATAAGTGTAAGTATTTTAAGACTACTGAATTTGCCTCTAAATTATTCTCTTGAGTTTAGTTTCAGCATAGTTCTTAAGGCACTTTTTTGTACAATAAAAATTTGCTCTGCATTTCTACTACCTCCATACCTACAAACAGATTCAAATTTGAATGATAGACCATTCGGATTACATCTGTGTCAACATACTGACCAATAACTCTCATTGAATACAACACTGAGTTCAACTTTTGACAAACATTTTGAACTCCTCCAGGTTATTTAGAAAAAGTATAAACATCAATGGGCCAATTATACTACCTTGTGGTACCCCAGTATCAATTGATTTTATGTCTGATTCAGCTTTGATTCCTTACTTGTTAATCAACACCATCTACCTGATATATAATATTTAAGTTATTTCAACGAAGGGCCACATATGCCATGTGATTCCAGCTTTTGTAGAAGAACTGTGCAGTTCAAACAATCAAAAGCTTTTGACAGGTCTACAAATAATTCCAATGTAAAATTATTGTTCTCAAGTTGTATGATGTTTACTAAAGAAATCTTATTATTCGATTTTTGACAGATTTTTCGAATAGTTCAGCAAAATTACGGATGACAGAAATTGGTCGGTAATTGCAGTAATAATTTTGACTTCCAGATTTGAAGACTGAAGTTACTTTCATAACTTTCAACCCCTTTTGTATCACAAAAATTCATCAAATAAACTAGCACTTTCAAGATATTTATGCAAATGTTTGATTAGTTTGCAAATTATTTTGTCAGAACCTGGTGCACATTAGTTTTCAAGATTTGAAATTAGACATATTATTTCATTTTCTGTCACTGGTTCAGAAAATAGGAAGGATGTCACTTGGGTTTCATTAGTTTTCAGGTAATACACATTTACTATTAAAATCAATCTCTAGTTAATATATGTTAAAAATAATCAGAGTTCTTATATTTGAATCAGAAATTCAACATTCACAAGGTGATTTGATCTATTTGGATTTATTGAAAATTTCCGGCATCAGGCTGCAGATTGTCTTTTGATGTTAGTTCAGAACACAAATAGCCCTAATTTACCCATTCTCATAAATAATTCAACATATACAATGCGCAAGCTTTAAAATAATAAATCCCCAAAGGAACAATTCTTACCTGTAAACCAACTTATTGTCATAAAGATAAAACCACCTTCTATTCCAAGTTTTGAATGCATTTGAAGTCCTTTTGAACAGGTATCCTTCCATAGAAGGGGAATTTTTTTCATTTTTCATCGATATCGGTTCGATATTTGATACTATAGCATGTGTATTTTCCAGTTCTTTCTGAATCTTGTATGTCTCATCTCTCATAACTGCTATCTGCAATTTAAATTGGAATCTCAAATCATGAACTGAGATAAAATATATTCAAGAGAATGCTCACTTCATCCGCCAAAGTTTTGGAAAATGGTTCCAAATCTGCACATAAGTCTGAACCTTGATGATAGTAAGTTGAACAAGCATGCAGATACGATAGGAGCTAAAAATTGAATCAGTTTATTATTTCACATGTGTTTGTTTTAGGGCGAGTTTTTATCATATAAGATTAGATTAGCAAAACCTGGTTCCTTAAAAAAGGAATCAGTGCAAATAAATAAACATTAATACTGTTAACATCAGAAAAATTGATCTGTGTGCTTATGAATGGTGATTTGCATTTAATAGGCCAATGAGTCATGTCCTGAATAATCAATAAGTTTTGTTTGTATGGCACAACAACTGTAGTGATAGACACAACAGTGTTGGGTTTCCTCACAGAAAAAATATTTTTATAATTGCAAAAAAAAGTTGAGTGTGAGAGGGTTTTAGGCAATCATTAATTGGTTTGCAGAGGTTTGAAAAAGTTAAACAGTGCAATTTCATTTAGAAAAATGTTGTTTTTCAAAACTAAACAAATTAACCATTAAATTATCAATACATCCAACCAAACCTCAGTGACAAGATTTTTCTCAAGCCTTCAACTTCTCAATAAATCGTAGAAAAATACAAAATCAAATGAAAATCATTTCAAAATCAATCGTCACAGTACATTTCAAGAAATGTCATGGCCTCTCCAACTTCAAAGGTAGATATAACTAAATAAGAACTCACGGTACTTAAAATTTCATGTCTTTTCTTTGCCTGCAAAACGCTTATGCTATTTACATAATCCAAAGTTTGGTGACCAAAGCACGATCTAACAGCAACCAAAATATTTTGGACTTCTTCTACCTCTTGATGTTTACTCCTGGGAGTGTGAGAGTTACGTGCGAGGACACTGTCATACTCGGACGATATTTTTTCAAAATGTTGCTTATAGTCACGTACTTTCTTGATATCACTGAAACGAGATATTTGATGAATGTTTTGAAGAAAATCATGTAGAAGATTTTCGTAGTTTATCAATTAACATCCTATATTATAGAACAGACTTTTTTAGGGGTTGTCAGTGTCAAGTGTCAAAATGTCGAAGCGAAACCGATCCCTAAAATTTGAAAAATAACATTTTATATGAATTAATAGGTCAATCATGATCCAAGTTTCGTATGGCGATTGGCAAAATAGTTGGAATAATACTGGCAAAAAGTTAAATATGTCAAACATTGAGCAATTTTCTCGGGAAGTGCATAATTATCATTTGGAAAGACTGAGATGCCTAAAAATGGAAGCTGGACGCATATTTCATGCTTGTATCACCTACCATAAGATTATAACAACAACATCCATAATTTGAATCTGAGATTCAGAAATCAACTAACTACAACCCAACACAGAGCGTGTTGATCTATTTCGTGGATCCTTCTTTTATAATGTGGCCTGGCTGTATAATCGAATTCCCAATTTAATAAAATCACTTTCTGCGCTAGATTCTAGAAATAAAATCAAAATTTACTTACTGGAACACAAATTGCCTCAACACCTCTGTCAATAAAATAATTTTGATGTAAATGAGCATTTCATACAGTTTGATTTTCATTGTTTTTTTAATTGTTGTTAGTACTAACAGAAATGAAACTGGTGCATTTGGCACTAAATATATCTAGGATTACGTATGTTGTGCATGTACAATACTTTTTTTTTCTCGATGTTGAATGGAAGAGCAATTTCTGGTTGAGTCATTCGTGACAAGATCAGAAATTGAATTCTGCCTTTTGATAGGTACGTGTGTTGATTGTATATATTGTATTCCATACATTGTATTTTTTTCTTACCTATTATTATTATTATTGTAGAAGGTTTTCATTACAAATGCAGTTGCCACAAAATGGCATAATTTTGGACAAAAATTCAACTTTTTGGTGGTGTTGGGACAAGTTTCAAGACATTGTGCTGCAGAGCAATAAAGCTTGTTTAGAAAAACACATATTTCAAAAACCACTGGTCGACGATTTCATCAACAAAATATGAGTGATTTTCCATAAATTATTATAGTATTTAAGGAATGGACATGGCACAAAAATTATAGTTTAAACCTTTCATTTATTTTACAGATAACTTTATCGCACCAAGAAATACATTTTGAGAAATATTTTTTTAATGCACGTAAGGTGAATGTTTTAATTTCACGAGCTGGGTACATTCAATTAGCGATTTTTTTTATATTGGTACACTCACTTTGAACATATACTCTCAATTTCAGCTGTTTAATATGTTTAGTTTGTTAGACGATTGTTTGCTACCGAAAAAAATGGATCAGAGAATTTGGATGAAATTTGTTGTAATAAAATAGAATTGAATGCTCAAAACCACTTGAAATGTTGATAGTGGCATACGGTGACTGTACTCTGATTCAGAAAAATGTTAACAAGTTGTACAAGCTTTTCACAGAAGGTCGAGAAGATGTGAATGACGACGCTCGCCCTAGACACTCCAGCACATGAACAACCGATTAAAATGTTGGGAAAATGAAAAAAAAATATGAGGAATCGTCGAATAACTATTAGAGAGGTTGTTGAGGATGTCTGCATATCGGTTGGCCATGCCATACAATTTTTTCGGAAATTCTGGGCATGAAAGATGTAGCAAAGTTCCTTCCTTCCTTGTTTTATTCTGCTCTGAAATATATTAATTAATTCTGTGAATAGTGTAAGTTTTGTTATGTATGTTTATTTATTCTCACAACCAGATTCTGTGTTGTCATAATATCTATATTTTACCCCAAGTGACGTTTTTCTTGTTACTGTTTTCTATTTTTGTTAACATGGGAAATAAGTAAATATTATTATTAATCACATATTATTGCTTTGAATAAGTAAAATCCAACTATTTTTGCAACAACTATCCATATATGGGTGGATTTGTAGGTTACTTCATGATAAATTAAAGCAGATTAAAGTTAATATATTTATTCTGAAGAAAATTATAAATCTATCTGACGGCAACCATAATTTTTGTTTTTCTCAGAATATTCAACAGATGACTAATTGTTAATAAAGACGAAGTTCATAATAAACCTGTAACTTCATAAAATCCTTACTTTTTCAGGAATGATGTGAGATTCTTCAAAACTGTTCGAGATGCCTGATCCAACAAAATAGTGTGAAACTTGTTCATTTCTTGTAAGCTGTGGATTAATTTATTTAAAGACGATAATACCATTGGATCCTCTTTGAAATGGGTACTCAAATCCCACAAGCTATTGGCAAAGAGACTGAAAAAAGAATTTTTGCGGTTTCAAAATACAGAAGTAAATGAACTTCCTAAAAAATTAAATGAGGCTCAATTGAGCAGGATAGAATAAAAGTGGTTCAAGTAAATTTGGAAAATTTCTAAATGGTTGAAATTTTTGTGAAGCAACCAGTTGAAAAATCTAGGTTAAGGATTTCGAAACACGTTTATTGTATTTCGAATTGTATGTCATCACTAACATATCAAAAATAGAGAAGATACAAAGAAAACCATTTTTGTAAAGAACTCGGATTTGCCAATTATTGACTTATACCACTTTCTTTCTATGCAGTTCAGTTGTTAAAGGAATCTTTCTTAGGAGAAATTGGATTTGGGGAAAAACACCCATCATTATATAGAAATTGGGAAACTTCAGGAAATAGAAAGAAAAAATCAAATGCATCAATAAAAAGTCTTTACAAAGGTGTGTAGATATTGCACCTTCTTTCATAGATGCAGATACATAGATGTATCTGATATCATAGATGCATAGATACAGATATAAACACTGAATTACACAAAATAACTTTCACTGCAGAAACTTTACAACAATATGTCATTTGAAAGAGACTTGCTCTTGTGATGGAATTGTCTGATACTTGATGAAAATCCATAAAATATTCAGAAGAAACTTCATTGTGAGAGTTTCACTAAATAGTTTCTAAAACGCAACAAGCATTCCGCTATACAATAGCTTATTCAAGCGTATCTATACGCTTATACGTAAAATTGTTCAAAGAAAATCTCACAGTAAAGTGTTTTTCGAATAAACTTGCTTTTGTCACAATAACAGTTCTTTACAAGGTTATCCAAAAAGGTGTTGATAAGGAGTTGAATATTGAACGTTTTCTTCATAAGAGCAAATTTCTATTACTCTTCAAATATTACATTATTTAGAGAACAAACTTATTGAGGAATAATGTAATTCAATGTTCATATTTGAAAGTAGTTGTTTCAAACGACTTTTTTCTTCCAGTTGTATCTGAAACAAGTTTCTGTCCATAATCTAAACATCTTTGCACAGAGTTTTTTCACGTATTTAATTTTTGAATCCTATCTTCAGAAGTTTATCACTTTCCATACAATTTTTTTTATTCTAAAAATTGGTGAAAAAATATAACTAACACTGGTCTCCATAATTTTACTTGACATCCTTTAATAAGCTAGAGAGTGATACCATTGCTGTTGTCAACAGGTTATTTACATTAGTAATTATGATAAATGAAATTAAAAAACACACCTTTGTTGTCCCACATATGTTTTTCCAGCATCAACCATGCTCCCACAAACTTTAAGGATTTTTTCCAATTTGTTCTCAAGTTGATCAATGCTGGATTCTTCCTCCTCCAACAAACTCCTGAAAATGTTGAAAACAATAACTACCTCCTACAAAATAAAGAATAAAATATACCTAAACTTTGGGGAATCTCGAAGGCAATCTTGCAACTCTATTTTTCCAACCATTTTTGAATTTTTGTAAGTAGCAATACTAGAGGAAATGATACACTTCTCCAATTACAAAATATAATACAGAATCCTAATAAGATGAGTCATTTCTGTTGCCACTTTCTTTTTCACATAAAGAAAGTAATTAAAAAATCAGCATTCCTTCAGTCAACAAGGTTCTATCGTACTATATGTTCTGTGACTATGATGGAGTTGGAGAAATTGTTGATGATGAATAGCATATGTCATCTAATCTAAATAACATGCTTTGGCGAGTTTTTGAATTCTCAGAAAATTTCTGATGGACGGCTTCAGCCATTACAAATGCTTTCAATTGGATATATCGAAGCATTTTTTGGTGAATTTTCATCTAATGGATGAATCTATGTACTCGTCTTTTTTTTTTTTGTTCAAATGATGACAGAAGTTACTCAGGAGCTACGAATTTTCAAGTGAACTTTTGGGTCGTGACAGCGAAAAAGATTGGTTTCCGAAACGCCGACAACTAAAGAAGGCCAAGTCACAGTATACAGAAATACTGTGGCCAAGTATAGAAATTTCATTATGTATTCAAATTGACTATTCAATTTTTAGTCAAAATTAATGGATATGATAAATTACTGACTAATTGGACTCCTCAGTGGTATAATTACGCAATAACTCGGAGCGAACTTTTCAGTTTACCCTTCATTACACTTCAGCAGATTCTCTATCAGTTTAACTTGGTCTATATACCCAACAGTAAGAAACACACAAAAATGTTACCCCAATGCATCACCTTTCTATTTTTCCTTGCTCTCTCAAATACCTACTTGGTTCTCTCAAGTATCTACTTGGCACTTGGGGTTTTGTATGTTTTTGTTGAGACTAAACTCTAATTGAAACATATTGCTAGGAATATTTAAAAATACAATATTACAATAGCTAATGCAGAACATACAAAACTATTACAATCCAAATTTTTGTGTACGTCAGCTAAAAGAGATAGTAAATAAATGGCGGTTGACCATATCCGTTCGCGATGACCATGTCTATAAAAAATTCACTTTGAAACGCATTTTTTTGAAAGCTGAACTGAAGCATAAACTACAAAAAACTACAATAATGAACATCGTAAGGTCCGCCAACACAGTTTTATTAAAATATATTTCAGTACAAAACTATAAATCCCATTACATTTCTGCAATCATCTTTCCACTTTTTGTCACCGCTACTTTCATGCTAATTGTATTTAAGCAAACAGTATCATCTGCATTTTCGATCTTGGTTAATTTGGGAATCGGAATCGGGGCGGACAAAGCATTTTATACAAACAACTTTCGAAACATCATTCTACATGAAAAGGGATGGGTCAGGTATGACCTTTATTAATTTTTTACATTGTTACAATAGGTGTCTTCTGGTGTTTAATCGTATTCGAGGCTGTATTCAAAAACGATTCGTAGTGACGTCATTAATAAAAATATTCGCCGGAATGGAATCATTCAATTTATGTCAAATTTAATAAAAAAAATAAACTTTACAGTCATCAAGTCGTTCTGAGGTACAGACAATGAAAGAAAGGATGCCTATTTTCAAGGGCAACTAAATAACCCTCGCATATAATTACCTCATTGAATGTAACGAACTACCACACACTGGGCGATCACTAGCAAAAGTTCTATTGTCCCCTACGAGGTATATTCAAAAAATAACGTGATTTATCATTATTCTTAGAGAAATATTTCTATTTTCTCCTCTCCAAATTAGTCTCCCTCAGATATAATACACTTGTGCCAACGTTTTTCCAGTCCTCGAAGCAGTTCTGATATGCACTTTTTGGCATGTCCTTGAGCTCTCTCACCGATTCGTTTTTTTATCTCCTCAATTGTCGCAAAACGCTGTTCTTTCATGGGTATCTTCAATCTTGGGAACAGGAAAAAGTCGCAGGGACCCAAATCTGGTGAATACGGTGGCTGAGTGATGATTACGGTGTTTTGGCCAAAAAAATTAAGAACAATCGATGACGAGTGAACAGGTACATTATTGTGATGCAAAAACCACGAATTGTTTTTCCACAATACCAGACGTTTTTTTCGTATTTCTTCTCACAAGCAGAGCATAACTTCAAGATAATACATATTATTGACTGTACGACCATGTGGCAAGAACTTCTCATGCACTTCGCCACAGTAATTGAAGAAAACAGTGAGCAAAACCTTGACATTTGCTCAAACTTGGCGTGCTTTTTTTTGTCTTGGCTCTCTTGGGCTCTTCCATTGAAAGGATTGGACTTTTGGTTTCGATGTCATAACCACATAGCTATGATTCGTTCAGTTATGACTCTTTCAAGCAAATCTGGAACGCCGTTGACGTCATTCAACAATTCCTGAGCGAGGCTCATTTGACAGTTTTTTTTTTGGTAAAAATTCAGCAATTTTGGAACGACTTCGCTGTATCACAAGCTTCATGTCCAAGATATCCGAAAAAATTGCACGGCACGAGTCAACCGATGAGTTGATATCTTTAGCAACTTGTCTAATGGTGATTCGACGATTCTCCATAACAATTTTCTTCACTTTCTCAACATTTTCATCGGTTGTTGATGTGCTGGGGCGTCCAGGGCGAGCGTCGTCATTTACATCGTCTCGATCTTCTATGAAAAGCTTGTACCACTTGTAAACATTTTCTGGCTCAGAGCACAATCACCATATGCCACTGTCAACATTTCAAGTGTTTGTTTACACAAAATTTGATGCAAATTCCTTGATCCATTTTTTCAATAGGTGAAAGTCGCTGAAGATTTTTAACTTTTATGCCCCTCACCCACAAACTTAACATGCTGACAGCTCAAACTGTGAATATACGTTCGAGACAAGTGTACCAACAAAAAAATCGCTAATTGAATGTACATAGCCCGCGAAATTTGAACATGTACTTTATTTTTTGAACAGTCGATATATATCACCGGCACTAAACCTTAATCAACCACAATTGGACCAATAAAAAATGATCATGAGTACTCCTAACAAACAACAGAGACATAGCCAATGAATTCAATGATAATTTCGTAGATATTGGAAAAATATTGGCAAATAAAATAGTCAAAAATAATAACCTCGTTTTTCATCCAAACATTTTACCAAACTTTTTTGTCTTAAACCTAACTGATGAGGTCTGCGACCTCAAAAACAAAAAGGCGGTAGGAAAAGACGAAATTAAAGCAGAACTGCTAAAATCCATATCACATTATATACTAGATTCTTTAGTTTTCATTATTAATGAATGTATATATTACTTGGTGTGTGGCCCGACTCATTCAAAACTGCAGTAGTGACTCCTATCCATAAAAAAGGAGATAAAACTGAAATCACAAACTATCACCCATCTGTCAAAAATTTTCGAAAAATTTCTAAAAAGAATAAACTCATTTATAACCAAATACAAATTGATTTCAGATAGACAATGTGGCTTCAAAGAAAAAACCTCAACCGAAGACGCGTTTCTGGAACTAACAGAATTGATACATAAATCCTTGGAGAAAGGAAAACCTTCTTTATGCCTATTCATAGACCTAACAAAGGCTTTCGATACTGTCGATCATCAACTACTCCTACAAACTTTAGAAAATAATGGTATCAGAGGGAACTGCCAAACGCTTTTTGAAAGCTATCTTTGAAATAGAATGCAAGTTGTGCGAATTGCAGATACAATTAGCAATCAAAAACAAATAGAATGTGGACTCCCACAAGGTACGGTACTGGGTCCTCTGCTTTTCAATTTATATCTAAACGAATCTGGAAAAAACTAATTTTCTTCCTTTTAGCTGCAATCTATTCAATGATTGTCCATTTGAAACTCTTGATGTCGGCAAACAAGGAAAAACAATAAAAATAGATTCCCTGAGAGAAACCGAATACTTGGGTGTCTACATAGATAGAAACTTAAGGTGGGACTCTCATATAAAATATACAATAAAAAAACCGCAAACAATACTTCACAACTTCCGTTCCTTGAAAAATTACTTACCTCACAAAGAACTTAATCAATTATATAGTTCCCTAGTAGAGAGCCATTTGAGATATGGTATAACAGCATGGGGATCAGCTCTGTGTGTACACCTCAATCCGTTAGAGGTATTACAAAAAGGAGATTCATGAAGTTGATCATGTCTAGAAATTCACGTTTCTCGTCAGATCTCCTGTATTAAGAGCTCTGCTCTTATCGCCAAACCACTTTGTTCACATATTTTGTTTTAATTGTACTCTAATTTGTATACGTTGTGAATAAAGTTATTATTATTATATGTAATATACATTACAAGCTTCAATATCATATACATATACCTGTGTAAATCAACAAGAAAACAATTTGCATCTTGATTGTTTTATACAATACGTTAATTTTAAGATGAGCCTTTATATGATATAAATTGTGTAATGTAATAAATTGATGAGTTTCACGAGGTTTATTTTCTTTTGAGAGCATGTTAATAAAAGCTTGCTTCTAAAAATGTTTTTATTATTAATTTATCTTTCTTCATATAAAGTTGTCACTATCCTTTTCTCCCATGTTGTTGAACATTCAAAAACCCACAAAAAGATAATGGGGAATGTTCCTCCTGACGAAATTCAAGTAGTTTTCATAAAAGAGCTCTAAAACAACGCATTTTAAACTTATCATTTCAACCTTTTTCTTTAAAAAATTATTTAAATACTTAAAAAAAAGGAATGAAATTATGCATTCAACATTTAAAGGGATTCGTTTCTATTTCACCATTTGGCAACATCGGTTATAAGCTAATAAAGGACAATGAATCTATTACCTGTACGAGACAAGCAAAGATAACATATTTCAGAGGCATGCTGTTCTGTTTACTTATGTTTCGAGACATTCTGTGACATTCATGTGACATTCATATGACATTTTGTGCACCTAACCTATCTTCCTCCATATAAATAAAAAACAAAACAACTGTTGTTTATGTGGCTTGTGGAGGTGGTATTGAACTATAATTTATACTTTGCCTTAATTGTTGATTTACAAAGATACTTTTCCTCTTTTAAAGTAGAATATCTAGGTATGTATAAATTATTTCAACTTGATATAGGCGCTGTACCAATATGTAAATTAGAAACAAATCCCTTAAAAAATTATAACCCAACATTTGAAACATCAATTTGAATACTTTTCGAAGTGAATTTGAAAAACTCATGAATTAAACTCAA